AGGGCGTCTCTACCTTTTGCAACTCGCTGTGCGCATTGCTCGAGCATATAGTCCCTAAAACCTTAAGAGCAGTAACAGCAGCGTGATATACAGCCTTGTTACATGAACTGTACATGGACTGATTGCAAAGCAACAGGACTGAAGCTATTTCAACCCCGATACCCCCTGGCCCCCCCTCCATCACAACAAACGAATATGAAACTTAGACAAAACTCTATCACGTGTCTCGGCCAGGATCGAAACCCTAACGGCTGCCAGGCTTCAAAACATTTCAGGAGAACCTAATCCAGCTGCAGAAAGCAACATGTTGATTGTCTTCACTTGCGCTTGTGTACCCAAGACTGGACGCCACGAGATGCCCCTCCTCGCGGCAGATCCCTCAAAGTTTGCCTCCCGTTGCTCTGGCGACCCTTGCAATTCGTACAGCGCATGACCAACTGGTGCTGTAGATCCTTGCTTCTTGCGATTCCGCACGGATTGGCTCCCTTTGGAGACCTTCACGTTCGTCGTGAAACCTCCCCCTTCTGCAACACACATATTGAGCGTAGTCAGAAATGGGTGTCTTCCAGGCTGAATCAATTTCTTGCTTGCTTGAGAATATCTCACAGGATGTTGCAGCAGCTCTTCTTGACCTTGCCAGCAATGATGAAAGTGCTGTTGGCTCTGTCAGATCATGTCAGGTTGCCTTGATCGTCTCGTCTGAGCTTCGGTGTGGACAGTACACTTTCTTGCAACCCTGGCCTTAGGCAGGCAGGGTGGGTGTGACTGTGAGTACGCAAGGCTCTTTGCAGCGGCCTTTGGGATCATGCTTGAGGAAATGCATGGCAAAGCATGTCTTGAGCCGCGCACAGCAACACCAGAAGGTACAGCCTCATGTCTTGCACATCATGGCCATTCATCATAGCAAAACAGACGGCTTGCACACCGGTACATAGCAGGGCATCCCCAACACATGCCACCGCGTCGGTCCAGGCCAACAAATTCAACACAAAACCAGTGACCATGTGCTTTCAACTCGGGGCTTTCCAGACAACATTGACGCTGTGAGCCGGTCACCTCCTACTCCACCCAACCGACAAGGTCGTATCCTCAGACAAACTTTGGCCTATTGAAAATCTGACTGTCATGAAATCAACCTATCCTTGAGGGCGGGTGCTTTCTCCGGAAATTCATGCTGAAGACAGATCTTCAGCTCCGTCTGCGTGGGGTGAGGGAACAAAAACAATTTAATCAGTAGCAAAAAGTCAAAATTTCGGGGATCACGAGAAAATTTAGCAAGGGTCAAAAACAAATTAAGATTGACGATTTTCGGTGCCTGAATACTGTAACTGGTACGATTCGGAGGATCAATGAAATAATAAGGATCAAAAAAGTATTGAGCTATGAACTGCCATCACAAAACATGAAAGTGACTAAAACAGACATTGGCAAGTCATGAACAATCGTCGAAAGTCGAAAATAATGGAAAGAAATGAAAATAAATGTAAAATGCAAAAATGATGAAAAATGATAAAATTGATGAAAATTTATGAAAGTACTGAAAAATGATGAGGAATGATGGAAATGATGACAAACATAACAAATCATGAAAAAGATGAACCAGGATGAAAAATGATCGAAATGATGAGAAAATTGAAAAGTCTGAAAAATGATGAACAAAAGGAAATAAAGAAACATGATATGGATTAAAAATGACGGAACTTGATGAAACATGATGAAGATCACGAACCATGGTGCGAAATGCTGGAAACTATTGGAATATGATCCAAAAAAGAAGAATTATGAAACATGATGAACTGATGAAAATAAGGACAAATCATGAAAAATCATGCAGGGGATGAAATATAATGAACAAAATGAAGGTAAATCATGAAACGCATGCAAAAATCTAAATTATGAAAGCTACAAAAATTTAAAAAAATGGAAATCATGAGTAATGGACCAAAAACCGTGAAAAAAGGGAACATCATGACAAATCCATGCGCAAATGTACTTTGTAATAATGGGGGGAGGCGTAGGGGAAGAAGCAGCCCTCCCCAACTGCACAACCTGGACAGAGATTTCGAACATGGGCTTTCTTCCGCCGCTTTTGATCTGGCAATGTGATATGTGATGAATGATGCGAAGGCGATGAATATCAACAAAACGGATGAGAATAATGAAAAACGTTGAAAAATTATGAAGAATGATGAAAATGATGTAAATGATGAAAAGTCATCAAAATAATGACAAAATATGAACGTGATGAAGCAAGACTAAACATTGCAGCGCAATGCAAATGCAAGTGCGCATAAGTTCTGGAACGGGCCAGTCTTCTGTCTCTGATTACCCGATCTCCAAGGATTTTTTAGAGTAGGTTTTAAAATTCAGAATGTAGGGCCTAAGGGTAACCTGTTGAGGAAACCTTACTTTCTTCCCTGCTGTCCTTTTCACTTGCTTTCTTGCTCCCTCTCTGAAGCTCCGAGGGACGACAGTTAAGAGGATCGCGACCCCGACCCCCACGATCCCTG